GATATTCAAAAAATACCCACCCGCCTTTTATTTTGAAATGGGCAGTAGTTTCCGAAAATAGTGTTTCAATTCGCAGATTTTTCAAACTGAAATGATTGCAGTGGTAGTTGATGTCCTTTTTTGAGTCACGTCGCTAACACTGGTTTTTAATCATAACTCTGACAAGCCAGGATCTCTAGGGCTGCTTTTTTCAGGGTGTTTAGAGCGACTTAATATATGCACAACATATACGAAACGAGCTCTAGGAAAACTAATTGTCCAGAGATATATGCATATCAACTTTGCGAAGTCACGTCGCTAACGAATGATTTTGCCCATATATGTAAATGACCGGATAACAAAAACTCTAGTTTAATATACAATCTACTAGAGCAACTGTTGAATACTGCATTCTTAACAAGAGATATATTCAATAATACTACATAATTTGTAATGCTGATATGAACACATTTACTGCATAATTATCTAACATACTCTGATCATCAAATAATTTCCCTTTCCAACAAACATACCTATGGTTGTCATTTCAGTTGAGGTTGTTGATAATAATGTGGATGATTCTGTTGAGGATATTGTTGATGACGTCATTGTCGATGATGTTTCTGCTGTTGTTGATGGTTCCGTTGTAGTCGATGACGTCTCAGTTGTTGTTGATGTTTCCACTGTTGATGATGTTGTTGTCGATGATGTTTCTGTTGTTGTTGATGGAGTCGTTATTGAGGATGTTGCTATTACTGCAGGTAATGTTGTCACTGATGTTGTTGTCAATAATGTTGTAGCTCGAGTTGTTATCATGGTTCTAGACGTTGTTGTCGTTCTAGGTATAGTTGTGGTCGGTCTCGGCGTTGTTATCGTAGCTCTAGATGTTGTGGTTGGTTTGGGTGTTGTTGTCGTAACATGAGATGTCGTGGTTGGTTTGAGTGTTGTTGTCGTAGCACGAGATGTTGTTGTCACTTTGGATGTTGCAGCCGTAGTTCTAGGAGTTGTTGCCGTTCCCAGTGTTGTTGATATTGCGATTGTGCCAAGAATCTCTGAAGAAGAGGATATATGTCTGTATGCTGAGAAACTGAAGCTTAATAATGAGTTTTAGAATGTCATCGTATTATTAACAAGAATCATGTAATGATCTCAATGAAAAATAAAAAGACAAATTTTACTCATGTTCTAAGCTATGTTCAACTTAACAAAACCGATGACTTTTAGATAACAACAGACTATCTCGAGGGCATGAATTATCAATATGAGTACTAATTTTCATAATAGGGATACTTTTTTCTAAACTGTAATCTATGTGACGAGTATGGCATAATAAATTCTACTACATGTATATTCATTTTTCTTTCATCATAAAATATCTAGACTAATAATTTTGCTTTTCCGCTACAGCACTATTTTTATTTGAATTCGATCGTATTTTGCTGTTTGTTGGATGAATATGAACACGAATCTACACTTTCAGCAGATCTCACACTAGTATTTGAATAAAACGAATTATCGAAAGATATTATTTTAATTACTAGTTAAATTTCTTTTCAAATAATAGAAACCCTTAGGTTACTGCTAAAGCACGGAATCTTTACAGCGTACTTGAAAAATCGATCTGAAAGACTTTCAGTTAATATAAAAACAATGCTTTTAGAACTAGACTTGTTGACCGATATCATAATCTCAATTGCTAGGATTTCAAATGGTAACATGTGTACGAGAAATGTAGAAAAAGGAACTACACAGTTCTTCATTTCTCGAAAAGCTATTGTCAGATCTTTGCTAGTATCATCTTTGTGATTTGGTTCAAACGACCAATCTTTAATTTTATTTTATGAATACAATTGTAATGAAGAAATTGTCGACGAGCAAAAGATTTCGTCAAATACAATGATAAACGTTGAAACCAAGACAAAGTCACAATAGTCATACAGCTTACCATTCTTAATCAACAGCAACACTGTAATAGACAAGACATTGAATAGATGCATTAGTACGATGTCAGTGTCAATCGTCGATTACGAAAAAGAGCGTATTTTTATGTCAAAGTACGTATATATATATACATATTTATTGTAGACGTATGTATGAAAAGAAGGAAGTACGATATTTACTTTTTTCAAGCAAGACGAACAACCTTTTGAAAATACATAAGCCGTTTTCTCTCTTCAGTCCCTGTTCGAGTTGATATGTATGTTGTTTTAAGATTGCCTCAAGCGTCTGATATTATGCTTTTGCCACTTGTGATATTAACAAGAACTATGCTAAACCTCTACGATTATTTGCATTATTCATTTCAAATGAAGTGTACCGTCTATTTTGTGCAAGATACCTGCCTCTATTCAAAATCATGTAAGCAAATATGTTAGTTTGTTTTTATCAAAAAATGAGGTGCAGAACTAAATTAACAACACTTCCATTTTGAAACCTGAAATATAATCAATCATTTCATAGTATTCAAAATTTCTTTCTGCAGAAAGTCCAAAACTAAGTCAGTCGTGAAGACTAAGAATGAACGATACTTGTGATTAAATTCAGTACATAATCGACGGTATATGTTTTATTGACAGTTCATTTTGCGACAACTACACTACCCGATTGCATACCCAGGAGGGATCAACTGGAATTCGTGTAGTTGATAAAATTGAAGTGTAATTTAATGAAGCAGCTACATCCCATTACAAGATACAACTATATACTTAGGGTATACCAAAAGTTCTGATCACAGTTTTTAAAATTTAATAAAGCAATAAATATTGAATATTTTACTAAGGCAATATATAGTATAACGTCTCTTCTTTAATAATATATAGAGCAACTCTCTCTTAGACTTAGTTCTAACATCCTTTCAGACTAAATCTATAGTATTTATAGCCAAGAAAAGATCATGCCAACATAAAACCACAATACAGAAACGAAGAGACATTCGTTATTTTATTTTATTAAATGCTCAAAATAATCACCATTATTTTCGATACAAAGTTTCGTTCTTTCTAACAGTTTATCGAAAGTCTTTTTAAACTCGTTTATTGGAATATTCTTCACTATGGTGGAAACCTCTTGAGCTAATGATTCTTCGTTTGTGTGATCCGTCTACTTGTTCTTGATATAATCATTTAGCCAAAAGTCACACGGTGCGAGATCTGGTGAATATGGTGGATGTGGAATGATTTCGATTCCTTCCTCCATTAAATAATCAATAACATCTGGATGAGTATGAGGAGGACCATTATCATGAAGCATTTTATATGTAGTACGTGATGACTTTTCCTTTTTTCTTATTTCATTGATAACAGGTATAAGACAATTATCAATATAGTAGTCATGATCGATTGTCTTGCCCTTATCTACTTTGTGTATGAGAAGAGAACCAGTGGATTTGAAGAAGAAGCAAAATAGTGTTCTAGGTTCAAATCTATTCCGACGAACAATGGTTCTTGGTGGTTCATTTTCGCCAACCCAAGTAGCATTGCTTGACTTTCGACCAATCTGCCTGTGATAAATCCATGTCTCATCACCAGTAATAACATCACATAAATGCCATGTTCCATTTCTAAATTTCTCTAAATTTTGACGACAAATTCTAAGTCGTTTTTGTTTTTGTTCGTCAGTAAGTTGATGAGCAACCCAACGTGATGTAACTTTTCTCATCTTTAGACGATCATGAAGGGTGGGTGTGGGTGTGGGTGTGGGTGTGGGTGTGGGTGTGGGTGT